TCTTATAACATGGTGTAAGAAACTGGGATAACAGTGGTTATCTGCCCTGCCGAACTGCGAGAAATTATTTGACGAATCGATGGGACAAACAAGTTTCCTGTTGAGTTGTATTATTGTATCTTGTATAATGGCCGAGCGAGATTCTCGACTGCCTGGTCCATTGCTTCTAGACGCAAATGCTGCTGAGAACTGGAGGAAATTTTCATGCAATTTGAGATCTACCTCGTCGCGAAAGGTAAAGATGATAAAGCGGACAAAATGAAGGTAAATATGTTGTTACATAGTGCTGGACCAGAAGCTATCGAAGAGTGAACTGAAAAGACTGTCGTTAACTTGTGAATTTGGCGACCTTCGAGATTCGCTCATTCGTGATCGTATTGGGGGAGGAGTTTTGTCACACGAATTGCCAGGTGAACTGCTGAAAAAAAACAGATTTAACGCTGCAAACTGCTGATGATTATTGCCGTACATTCGAGGCAGCTTAACTACAGAAATACAAGTTTAATACACCAACAGTTGCGGGTTCCGAACGTTCACTTCACCCTCTCGGGAAAGTCAAGGTTCAAGAAAACACACCCCCTCGTAACTGTAAATTCTGTGGTTACAATCACCCATTTATTCAGCCACCTCGCTGCCCAGCTCTTGGAAAGAAATGCAACACGTGTAAGAAGGATGGACACTTTGCACAAGTGTGCAAACAATTAAGCGCTGAAGGTTCACAACTTGCAGCTGTGGAACATGAGCCTCCAATGAATCACGATGTACACACATATTTTGGATCAGGTGCGCTGGATAGTGTCTCCTGCACTCGAAAGAAATCTAGGGGCTCGATTACCGTCAAAATTGCTGGGAAAGATGTACAGATCAAAGCAGATACTGGTGCAGAAGCTACAGTAATTCCCTATGAGATGTACAAGGAAATCACAAACAAATCTCTTCAGAAAATTCAGCAACCTTTGAAAAGGTGGTTTGCGCCGAAACCCATCCATCCAAAGGGCTCTGTGAGGCTTCCAGCTCGATATGGGAGTCATGAACTTAACCTGTTGTATCTTGTTGTTGATGGAACTTTTACACCATTGCTGGGATGTGATGCTTGTTTAGACTTAGAAGTCCTTGAGTTCATGAACCTTGAACTGATAACTACTCCAGAGTCAAAACAACCAGAGCAAGAAATGCCAATTTTCTTTCAAACCGATCCTGTGTTGCAGGATTATAAAGATTGTTTTAGTGATAAACCTGGCAAGCTACCTAACAAAGTACATTTGGAAGTTGATCCGTAAGTTCCTCCAGTGGTACATCCTGCCAGAAAAATTCCAATCGCACTTCTTGAACCAACACGAGAGAAGCTCACAGAGATGGAAGAAGATGGGATTATTGTTAAAGAAGAGAAGCACACCCCTTGGGTTTCATCTATGCTAGTGATTGACAAACAAAACATGAAAGAAAAGAACACTCCACTCTCGAAGAATGATGTTCGTTTTTGTATTGACCCAAGGGACCTAAACAAAGCTCTTAAGAGACCACACAATCCAATGGCTACTGTAGAGGAGGTTGCCAACCGATTATCGGGTGCAAAGAGTTTCATGTCCCTTGATGCTTGCAGTGGATACTGGCAGCTCACAGTTGATGATGAAATCTCTAAGCTCTTAACATTCTATACCCCCCGCGGTTGATATCGATTTACAAGGCTCCCTTTTAGCAGCTCTTCTGCCCCTGAAATCTGCCAAAGGGAGATGGACAAATTATTTGAAGGGGTTCCTGTGGAGATTATAGTGGATGATTTCCTGATTCATGGTAAAGATCAAACCGACGCTGATCAGAAGTTGAGAAGAGTACTGGATAGAAGCAGAGAAGTAGGATTAAAGTTCAATCCAAAGAAAGTGAAACTTCGTGTTCCTGAAGTAGGCTATGTTAGACGTGTGTTCTCGGCCGAAGGATTAAAACCTGACCCTGGTAAAATCCGCGCGATCAGTGAGCTGCCTCCTCCTTCTGACAAAGAAGGTGTACTTCGAGTACTAGGAACTGTAAATTACCTTTACAAGTTCATTGAACACAAAGCCAATCTACAAGAGCCAATTTCACAGCTTACCCAGAGAGATGTCGCATTTGTGTGGGAGAAACCACAGCAAGAGGCTTTTGATAAGCTCAAGTTTGTCATCAAAAGTGCGCCGGTGTTGGCATACTTTGATAACAGCAAAGAAACGGTGTTAATTGTTGATGCCAGTAACACAGGCCTTGGCGCAGTGATCATGCAGGAGGGCAAACCAGTTGCCTTCCGTTCAAAGACATTGGCTCCCCCAGAGAAGATGTATGCAAATATTGAAAGAGAGCAATTAGCGATTGTATGGGGAGCGCAAAAGTTTCACACATATGAGTTCGGGCGCAGAGGTTTTGTTGAGACAAACCGCTGGAGTCAATCTTCCGGAAACCACTGAATGAGGCCCCTCCCAGGCTACAGAGGATGTTGCTGAAGCTCACTAAGTATGACCTTGTGTTGCGTTATGTCCCCGGAAAACAGCAGGTCATTTCAGAGTGCCTTAGCAGAGCACCTCTCAGTGAAACTGAACCGTTCAGTGAACCCGAAGATGTAATCGGAGTTAATCTTTTTGAGGAACTTGGAATAGAAAGCAGCACCCTGAAGAGATTCAAGGACAGCTCAAGTGCTGATGAGACATCAAAAGTGGAGATGGAGTACGTTTTCAAAGGATGGCCCGCTGAGAAAGAACAAGTTGATGAACTTGCCCGGGAATATTGGAATTTCAGAGAAGAGCTGAATGTTGAGGATGGCATGTTATTTACATCAGACAGAATTGTAGTGCCAAGACCATTGATAGCTGAAGTGTTAGATGAAATTCATGGAGCTCACATGGGAGAGAGCAAAATCCTTTCCTTTGCGAAGGATTATGTTTTCTGGCCTTCCATGACTACCCAAGTCAAAGACAAAGTCAGTTCCTGTGCCATTACATCCTCATGACATTCCAGGATTACTTTGGCAAGTTGTTGGGGCTGACCTGTTTGAATATGGTGGCCAAACGTACCTGTTAGTCACTGACTTCCATTCGAAGTTCTTTGAAATAGAACTGCTTCGCCAGAACACTGCCATTTGTGTCATCAACAACTTGAAGAAAATATTGGCGAGGTCTGGAATCCCAGAGAAAGTTGCCAGCGACAACGGACCGCAGTACAGCAACACCAGAAATTTGTTCAGCAACAACCATGAGTTCAAGAAATTTGCTGAGGAGTGGGGATTTTCCCATACAACCAGCTCACCAGAGTATCCTCAATCAAATGGCGCAGCGGAAAGAGCTGTACAGACCACAAAACGCATTCTCAAGAAGGCTGCTGCAGAGAACAAAGACCCATTTGAGGAACTGTTAAAGTATCGTAACACCCCAATCGAAGATATCGGTGTGTCGCTTGCCCACCTGCTGATGAGTCAACGCACTGGAACAATGATACCAACTCATCGACTTCTCTTGTTACCTCAGCCAGTGGATCGTGATCATATTCTGAAAACACTTCATCAGCGACAGCATAATGCCAAGTCTAATTATGACAAGCAGAGTAGAGATTTGCCTCCACTGAAAGTTGGGGACAAGGTGCGGTTTCGTCCAAATGGTGAGAGGGAATGGCGTAAAGCTGAAGTTATGCCAAGATCATACATGCTGGAAGATGAATATGGACGTGCTTACAGGAGAAAAAGAAGGCAGATACTCTCTGTTCCAAATGATTCTACTATGACCCCAAGGACAAGGACTCCTCCCATAAGTACCCAACCTCGTTACTCTCTTGCGAGTACAAGACAGCCACTTGTATTTGAGAAGCCAGCGCCAAGTCCAGTGACACTAGAGAGACAGACAGAAACTATTTCATAGACTCCCATTACAACCAGATCTTGGCGTCAAGTTAGGAGGCCGCAAAGACTCATTGAATCGTGTTAGGCGGGACATGATGTAAGATTGAAACCTGTGGGATCCCCCTTAGGGGCCCCTAACTGAATTACATGTGCATCACGAAAACGGGGAACCGCGTGCGTTGTGTTTTTGACTTGCTTGGGACACGAACATGTTAGAATAGTCTTTACTAGTTGTTGAATTTAGCTTCATTGAATCATCTTATAACATTCTAATATATCTTCAACTTATGAATGGAGTTTAGCTTGACAGTATCGCGTCATCTGAAACGGACTTGCGAGTATTTAAACCATGGAAATGACATCATGACGGTGCAGTTCATCTCTCGCGAGGGATTTACTACATTCAAGTGAAAAACGGTCAATATTATTGTATAAACAAAGTAGGTAACATTTTTTTTCATGGTATTTATACCTTTATAGACCATTAAAATGACGTCAAAATGTATAAAACATTTTGCAGTGAAACAACTAAGCTGCGTACAAACGTCTCGATCCTCGAGCAACAAAGGAAGCAGGAGACGTGTTCATGCAGGCTATGAAAGCATTCGCCTGTAGTTTGTGGTACCACTTTAGGTTTGAACAATCTAATGTCAGGCCCGTGCAGTGTTAAAGCCAGAAAGTTTGACTTGAAAGACAAAGTGGCCCCCGAAGTCCTCTATTTAAGAGCCATTTTTTTTCTTTTTTTTTAGGAAAGGGGCCAATCATCTTTTTCAAGCCGCCATAATGAACATCCATGGGTAATCCATGAGCACTTCCGATGATACATCACTAATTCGAGGCTATCTTATAGTATCCAGGCTATTACCAATTATGATGCTGAATTAATTATTCGCTCTGATTGATCGAACTTGTACCCTTTTTGGTCTGCTTTTTGCTATTGTTCTGTATTGAAAACCGCTATTGAATTAAAAAAAAGGATTGCTTTTAAAATCCTAAGCATGTTTGCCTGCAGCCCTGTAGAAGGAAAGGGCCAAATTGGCCCTTAAATTTCTTTATTCTGGGGGCCATCTCTTATTGCAACGCATGATTTCCGCAACGGCGTGTTCTGGCAGAAACAGTGTCTATGGTCTATAAGATTTGTTGTCTATCTGTTCAATTTACCAGTAATGACGGAGTATTTAGATGACGGAGGTCCAGTTCCCGTGCGTGTAAACCCAGCCACCCAGACTCTGTAGGAATGTGCTGCCTTCAAACCACTCAACACTAGCACATGGACATTTGGGCTACTCGTGTTGACTCGTCTCGTGCTATACCGATCATAGGGATACTCTTGGTAGTTGACTACATATCCCAGTAGTCGCCCATTTACACTATGCTGAGGTATTGGATTCCATTGTACCTTCAATTCAGTGAAATGCAGCGTAGAAACTCGTAAGTCCGACGGTGCAACGCTGGGTACTGGGAAAACGAAAACAGCAACAAATGATGATATTAGTGAGAAGGTACGAAAAAGAGGGGAAAATTTTCTTCATTTGGTCATCAGGGTTTTCTGATGTCCAAGTGATACCTAAGCTCAATATCAAAATAAAGGTTACGCACCAAGCTCCAGCTGTTCAAAAGGTGGATAGCGCTATCCACTGGACAAATCTCTGTTCAGTGGATAATGCAATAGGCCATTTTACAGTTGTGTGCTCAGTGGCCTGGCCTTCGAATAGAAGCGAGGCTGGAGGTAACCTTGTTTTGTTACAAATCTTCCTGTTTTTCATATGCAAACCGTGGTATTCTCATACTAACAATCCTGTGAACATGATCATTTATATATGAAAAACAAGAAAGTTTGTAACAAAACAAGGTCACCGCCAGCGTCGCTTCTATTGAAAGGCCAGGGCACTGAACACACAACTATAAAATGGCCTATTGGTTTCCCAATTACTTCGATCCGCTGGATAGTGATTTATCCGGTGAATAGCGCTATCCAGCGTTTGAACAAGTGCATGGGGCCCGGCTAACTAATCTCAACGTAAAGCGACACTCCATTCTGTTCTTTGCATGCTCTCAAACTAAAAAAATAAAAAACAACAACACTGAACAACAACAAAAACAAAACCTTCAAAAGTTTCGAAACATTTTGAAAAAAATTGGGGGGGGGGGAGATGATCTCGCAGAAATAAACCTCAACAGGAAAAATGATTAATTATAAATCCCCAAAAAAATTTTGTACTTAAAGAATAAAATTAAGCAGAAATGACTCTCAACAGGAAAAATGATTTATTATAAATCCCCGACAAGATTTTGTTCTTCAAGTATGAAATTAACCTTTCTCCAAACTCAGTGTAGCCTACCACGCAGACATTCCTAAGATTTCGTCACGCATACCTTGCATGGCGAACCCAAAAAAAAAAAAAACTTCTGCTGGAAGACTTAATTCAGAGAGGTTAAACGAAAATTCAAAATAGAGAAAAAAGCGTTTAGAAAAGGAAACAACACTTTAAAAACTCTCCTTTCTTGAGGTCAAAACGCAAATGTTTTCGCTTTATTAAGAAGAATGATCGTTCTAAGAGTACGACCGCAATTGGACGTGAGCATCGCACGGTATATGTTTTGGCATATTTACCTCCTTCGTTAGTTCTTGCCGTCATTGCTTCACTGGAGTACAGTGTCCCATTTACGGAAGATACAGCAACGACATAAACCTCGTAAAACATGTAAACTTTTAATACATTTCCAGTGTAATGTGAGTTATACCAATTTGAGACGTTGTAGGCCAAGCTGGCGTTTGAATTCTTGTCCTTATACTTCACTAATAAATGCTGGATTGGAACACTTAAAGGGAAGTTTGACCACCGCACTGTCAATGACGTTGATGTCTTGTTGATGATGGTAAAATTCCATGAAGGCACCACTTGCGCTGTAGATGAATTATAATAATAAAGATGATCATGATGACGGTGCAATGATGATAATGATGATGATGATGATGATGATGATCATGATGATGATGATGATGATGATGATGATATATGAAATTACCATTATTATGATGATGATAATCATAATGTGATCATCAGCATAATAATATTCATCACTGACGTTTTCAAGTGTAAAACAATGAGAATAAGAAGGAATATTTTATTTTTAAGGATGAATTAAAATCTAGAGATTCGCAAGTCTTGATAACGTAAACAAAATTTGCAAGTAAGTTGGCTGTGTGGGATAGTTAAAGATATGGTGACAAAGCAAAGTTTCTTCCTTCGTACGCACAAAAAAAAAAATCATCTTTCGCAAGCAGAAATATCGTTAAAGAGTGAATGCGTAATTGTGTTCAAGTTCAAACGGATATGTTTCACAGGTCGAGTATACCGTTAACCATAATATACATTTTAATAAATATTTAATGAAATTGACCGTTAATCAGACAACGTCCTAATCCCTAGTATATAAGGTTGATATAATAGACAGTATTTGATACGCGAAAAGATACCACCACGAGTGTGTTTGAACACAATAAAGCATAGATGCTTGATTTTGTATTACTTATAATGTAAGTAGTTTTTGGCATGCTATTTCTGCGAACCTGAGTAAAGTGTTCGGCCGACTATACTGTACGTGACGTTAACCACGCCCCATCCATGTTCCAAAGATATATCAAGTATGAGGTGTTCTGCATCTCCAAATGGGACCTCAAGAGAAGCGGGGTAAGGAGAATTACAGCCTCCCTGGTTAAAAACTTCATAGCCATCTGGCCTAAGTAGCTTCACGTGTTCACTAAATGCAAAAAATAAATAAATAAAAGAAAGAAAGAAAGAAATGACAAAGATGAGCCTTAAAATGGGTATCACGGAGTGCGCTTATATTCATATTTGCAGGGATATTGGCCATAACCTGCTACGAAATTAACGATATATGACCTTAAATGAGCAAAGAGGAAGAAAGCCAAGAGGATACGGTTACTCGTAACTTGTCCATTTGGCCAAGACTCTGGCAAAAAAAACAATTCTAAGGGAACATTCCGAGCTGTAACTCACCTGTGATGAGTCTTCGCCATAGTTTACATTAACGCCATCGTTATCGTTATCGTTCACGTTTACGTAAAAGTCATCATCATCGTCATGGTCATCATTATCATTATCATTATCATCATTATCATTATCATTATTATTTTCACTATTATCATCGTTATCATTGTGTTATTATTATCATTATATCAATATTATTATCATTATTATTTTAATTATTATCATTATTATTATTATTATTATTATTATTATCATTATCACTTTCATTATAATCATTATTATTACAATATATTTTCATAACATGTTTAAATTGCAAACTAAGCCCACGACACAACACAAACATACAATACAACAATAGAGAGTAGAGAGCAACATTTTCTTCAAATAGATCTAGCGTACGTAAATGGAAGGACAAATTTGAATAATTTTATTGAGCAAAAACATGGTGCTTGTTTTCATTTCGTTTTTATCTCAGACCGCTTCAGACCGCTGTATATGATTACAAGAAAAATGCACAACACTCTCGGGGCCTTTGCAGAATAACTTTAAGGGCAATCAAGTGGTTTTATCAGTGAAGACGCATGTTTGAGCAACTCAAAGCCTTTTATTACCTGCAAATACTTTCCAAAGTAAAAATTGCAACTGCGTGACTCACTCCAGCCTTGCCGATTTTCCAGATGCAGCGCTCGTCGGCTTCGTTTCCACCATTTGCTCTATACAACACCCCGGACGTTTTATTCAAGGTACCACCACAGCCTAAAGAATGTAGAATGTTTTACGGTCGAATCTCTCTAATACTGACACCGAAGGGACAGAGCGAAGTGTCCGTATTAAAGAGGTGTCCGTATAAAAGAGGTCACTATGATGACGTCACTTTTATTAATCCACTTACAGTTTTAAGTGTTCAGTAGCTAAAGTCTTTAAACTGCATTTAAAGTTACTAATTCACAGTACAGACACTGTCTTTTAGTAACATACAACATTGTGCATCTCAACTACAGACAAATAACTGTTTTAAAACGAAACGAGCTACAGCGCGATGCTGCATGTAAAAAGTTGTAACGTAAAACACAATTCTGAAAGCGTCTTTCGCTATATTTCAAGTGCAGTAAACAGTAACTACAGTACAAAATGTGATAGAAAAGATCTTTATGCTATCTGTAGTTATTGAAGCCTTCAAAAAGTCGGTTATGGTCCTTTGTAAACCTTTCGGAAAATCATTGCTTGGTATACAGCGACTGGGCTTTATATCAACTTGCATAGCTCATCAGCCAGACTAGACGGGATTCACCCTGTGGAGATTCACCTGATCGGGATTTGGAAATCTCCAGATCACCGCAGTGTCCGTAATAAAGAGGTTACGTTTATATGAATTTACTCTCTGGGGCCGAGATTTAGTGTCCGTTGTGTGTATTAGCATGAAAGTGTTTCTTTGAAATAAGCGACGGGTGACATACTTGATTTGAGACTATGTCACGATCTAGAAAAGTTTATGTAAGGAATTTTTAAGACCAGTTAAGACTGAAATCACTATATATCTTGCTCGGTAAGACAAATGTATCAACTATGGGCAAGGAAACGGCAACCGTCCAATAAAATGCTCAACTCAAGAATGTACTATGTCGAGTACGATTAAAAAGAAAATTAAAAATTTAATTTCAAAAATGGAAAATTTAATTTAATTTAAGTTGCCAAGCAAGAAATTACGCTAAACTACAACGAGGCAGCAACTATATCCCTTCACCATATTTAACAATTATTCTTTCAAATCGAGGTGAATAGTGGCTAATATTTAACGAGACGCGAAGCGGCGAGGTAAATAATCCTAAAGCCACTATTCACCGAGATTGAAAAGAATAATTGTTTAAGTACATACACACGAAGTGATCTCAACAAAATCAGAGAGGAAACCATTAAAAAGTACGATTTGATTGACGGATCAAATCACGCGGAAGTTTAAAAATAGATCTTGAATTAGAATTTTCAAACATGACAATTCACAAGTTTATCACTTCGCAAACAACAGCGTAATGGCTTAAATGGAACCGTTAAAAGTTTGAATTGTTGCCTTACCTGAGAAGAAAAGTAGAGCTTTGTTGTTTTCTGTTGACTCGCTAAGTTTATAGCCAAGTGCTGACAAAAATGGCGGCTCCGTTGCTCCAGGTAAGACGTCGTCGTCTCTTACCATTCTTTTTCCTACTTACTTGAAACGTAGGATTTTTACAAACATTTTCTTTAAAATTTGTTTGTCAGAAATAAACTTCGACTTTTGGGCCGAATTTTATTGTTAGGAAACGCTGAGTTCACGAAACGGCTTCCTCTACGCGAATAAACGGGAGTTGTGAACAATCCATCGAACACAAAACCGCCTACAGTAGATGTAAAAACGCCGTTTTGAGCCTTTTCTTGCCTTAAAAAAAGTCAACCCTAGGATTTTGTTGACTTTTAAAAGATCGTTCTCTAAAAAAAAAAATAAAAAAAAAAATGGGAAAAACACCGAGCTCACATATGTGACCCTACACAGGATTTTAATGCTAAAGGTGAAAGCACGCGCACGACACGCTTTCACTTTAAAACAAAAGAATTTATTTTAACACGCTTTAGTACGCTTGCAATCTTGCCTCATTAGCAATTTCTTTTGTTTCAGAGGACACGCTTGAGACAATTACGTGTGAGCAAGTCGAACAAAAGAGCGTGTTAAAGTTTTTAAACAAAAGCCTCGTGCGAAAAAGCACAACACGCTTTCAGTGTGCGCAAAAGCACGCACGGCGTGTTATCTATAAGCTAAATAAATTTCCTCTACAAAAAGGAACCGTAAATGATTATGAAGGGTACCCTTTTTTGGTAACTATCGAGAAAGAAAAAGTTCTACCTCAGCGATCGCAGCGATAGTATCTGATTGAAAAAACGTTGTCGCTTGAAAAGTATAATTTTTTTCAGAAATGTTTACTGACGAAGATGTGCAAAGGTTATTTTTACTTTCCTTAATTTCAAACACATTTGCAAATTCCAATACGGTTTCAATGTTGCTTAATTGACCTCGCGTTAATTCCAGGCTAAACGACCATTAAGTGGTGATTTTCAAATGGCTACGGTTACGCTCAAATTCCAAAACAGTCTCAATTGCTATATTTGATTCACTTCGACCGGTTATCAACGCTGATTAAATCCGCTGAAAACCCAAGCCCTTTTTATCATCTTTATAGTTTCAGTAATCAAGCTTGTTCAGCGTGTCTTGCCCAAATTGCACTCAACGCGTGCTATAATTCGCACACTTACCGTGACATATGGCACGCTACAAAAAAAACAAAAGGTCTAGCGTGTTAAATTTACCAAAACAAAGGCAAGTGTGTCCGTCGTTGTTTTTTTAATTTAATATGCGCATAACCGTGATCTACGGCACGCTAAGCGTGTCGTACAAGCGTGTCGTGAGCGTGCTTTCACCTTTAGCATCAAATTCATGTGGAGGGTCACATATTATCCACTCGCTGGGAGGTGAATATTGTTGAATAGTCCGAGATAACGAACCAATCAGATTGCTTAAATCACCAAGATCACTGAGTGTGTCTATACTAATAAACTATACCTAGAGAAAAAATATATCCACAGTTTCTTTACGTCTGACAAATTATTTTGACTTCTAACCTGGACAGTTTCCATCTACTATTGACACATCATCGATTGCGATGTCACTTTGAATGGAGGGTCCTCTTATTCCTTCAAACGTCACCTGTAAGGATGCAGTCCCAATAAACTTTTTTTTTTTTGGATAATGGCAAATAAACAACAAGTAATAATCAACTTTATATTAAACCATTTATACGGGAGAAGTAAAGGGTTGTGGGAGTCCAGGAGAAAAGTAAAGAGAGAGGTGAGAGAGGAAAGGGCGGGAGGAAGGAACTCTTAATGGATGGGAAGCGAGAGAAATCGGGGAAATTACTCAACAATATAATGCTCAATATTTCGCAATCGCAAAAGCCCTAGGCGTAAAAAATCAATGCAAAAAAAAGGGAGCCAGGAATGCAAGGTGTGGGGGCGGGAGGCTTGGACCCCTGCAACACGTTCCCCACGCCCCCCCCCCCCCCCCTGTCCAACAGAACCCAAAAAAAACCCAAAACCCATTCCGAAATTCTATGATTTAACCAATAACAAAGGGTAAAACACCACCACAAAAAATTCCCCGCGGCCCAAAAACCCCCCCCCCCCCCCCCCCACATAACATTCCTAGTGGCCCATCCCTAAGTACGCGTTAGGTGGTTGCTCAGTGCTCAGATTAATCTAAATCATAAAAAGGCAAACTGATCCTTACGGAAAGGCGATGAAGAAATAAACAAAAGAATAAAGCAAAAAAAGTATGTATTTTTAAAAAATTGACCCAAAATTTCTAGTTGACAACAAACCTTCTTAAGGGGCTAAAAGAAAAATGAAGATAAAACCAAAAGTTCGTTACAAATAAGAGTTTGAAAATATGACAATAAAAACAATAGATTTTTATTGGTGTAGGAGACTAGGTGGCACCATTTATCAGTGAGCTTCGTCGCGCCTATTTATTCCTAGATGAGATAATGTGTTCCCTTTGTGTATTAAATGAGCCTCCCTAGCCTTTCTCACTGCATCACGTTTGCTGCGTACATTGATCTACGTTGCATTTATTTATTNACGACCTATACTCAACCCTACTGGTAATTACATCCATACTGCAGTTTCAGAACACTTTCTAACCAGTAATCATTCCGACAATCATATGCTTTTGATTCCTATTGAAAAACTTAAAAATGGGCGTGATTCTTCCAGGAAAGCACGCGAAGCCCACCTTATCCACAAAGCTAAGACAATTGAGCCTCTGGGCATTAATAAACGTGATGAACTGTAACTATATAAAATAGTATATCTTTAATTTTGTTGTTATCTTGTCTTTTTAAAGTAGCCGCACCATACCACGTCATAATATATGTAATTTCCGGTCATTATTTTACTTCATAATTCGTGATACCTCAATAAGCCTGATGAAGACTGTTATTTGCCAGTCAAAATATTGCAACTAAACTCTATTTCACGTTGTTTGATCAGTCCCTGCAAAAGTCGTCCCGACTGTAACGTTTTCAATTTGATCTATTTTGACTGATCACGATCTTTTTTGATCCGACGTTGAGCAAGATTGATCGTACACGGTCTTTGCATTTTTTTTTTTTTACCTTATTTTGCATTAAGAAAATGTTAAGAGGTAAATTTCAAAAGGCATCAAACCTGATCCACTTGTATGATCCGAGGAGGGCCCCGTACCCCACGAAGGTGTGGAACCATAGTACAACGTCCAGTCAAATACATCCTCCCTCGACTGGCTACATCCGAAGCACAATCCATTATCAAAGTTACAGGATACTAAAAGAGAATCAGGTAAATAAAGCAGGTGTCATTTCATTTGAATGATCGTTCCATTGTATACATATGAATGGTATAACTCGAAAGACGAGTTACACCAAGGTGGTAAACAAAACCGCGAAGTTTGAGTAGGAGAGCGGAAAAGTGTGGTTAAACTGAGAATATTCAAGTGAAAGTGCTGTTGATGTTTTAAAAGATTTATAGCCTATGAGCAGGATTACTTGTGCGAATTCTGCAAAACATTTTGGCGGCGGAGGGAGCCGCCAGCGCTCGCGGAAAAGTCGTTTTCCACGAACTCGCACAAATGAACCCACACGCAAGCTAAAAATATACAGATACATATCGGTTTATTTTTACCTGGACAGATTCCACTGTTTATTTCTACACTATCGATCGCGATATCGCCCGTAAATGAATTTCCTACAATCCCCTCGAATATTACCTGCGAAAAGAGTTGAGTTTTAGTCAGCAATACACCTGTCACTTTCTATATGCTTATTGGCGTAATAAACCAAGCCTACACTTCTCCTTTCCTTCCACCATCTCACGACGGCTATTTCGCTAGTTTACAGTTAGAAAGTGCGAATTATTTGGCAAAACTTCGTTATAGTCGGGTGGTTAATCGTCAAGAAGAATTTTTCTTGCTATTGATTTATTTATGATGATGATGATGATGATGATGATGATTACCATTATTATTATCACTATTATTATCTGTTTTCACCATGAGGGGGAGAGGGTTATGCATGTATGTATAAGGTGGGTCAGAAGATTTCAAACTAAAAGGGAAGAATAGTTAGTTCAGACGATTAATTCGACTTAACTAAGAACACGCTAGAGAAAATTTTTTGTCTCTCACCAGTCCATTCAGAATTATGTTTCTCTCCACCATAATCCAGTTATTACTCTGATGTCCTGAAATATTAAAGACTTTGCTGTTTCCGCTGTAGACGTTGAGAGTTCCAACTGTAGCGCCATACATATGATAATAAAATGAGAGACACGACGTTTCTCTGTTGTTCGGAACAGTAAGAACAAGCTTGGCTTTGTCGCCGGGTCTTCTTGGGAAGGACGTTTCAATGTACATATAGTTTCCTTTAAGAAAAGAGGAGGAAGGAAATATTTAAACTATCAATAAGGACGACTGGACGGTTGGACATGTATGGAGGTGGGCGTGCATTCATATAACCTCTTTTTTAAAGTGTATAATTACTCCTACCTATAATATATAGATTTAGCCAGGGCTAAAAGCGAAGCTCGCGTTAATAAATTGATAATTTAAATAAAACAATAAACATTAATCAGTTAACTTTAAGGTACATTCATGAGACTTTTGAGGGAAAGTGATTCCTTACAGAAAAATAATTTGACAGTTCCAGAGTGAAACAAATTTTACACCCCGTTAGCAGTCTTATATGTACACCGAAAAATAGCAATCTTCTTCGATCACAGTAGATTAAGCCTAGAAAACAAATTCTTCCCAAACAAAAGAAGTTAAACCCAGTCACCCACCTACACTGCCTTTGTTTTATAAGGTTAATTCACATTCTCTCCAACCACTCCGTTGGAGAGATTATGGAGATAATTGGATCTCCCCGAAACATAATTTTATGCAACACACGACAGTCCTCGGTTGCAGCCAATTTACACGTTGCATTCCTCTGTCTAAAAGGAAGGCCAAAATTGAAAAAAAAAATGAGGCCGGTCATTTGGTGTTTCGAAAAAGATTTGTGTTCTACAGGTTTACTTTACAAGTAAATCTTGGCGACAAATCTGGTGGTGTGTAAACCAGTCTTTTAAATATACCTTTTATCAGTGTTTTTATACATAAATTCTGAGGAAAACAGTACTATGCCTGTGCCAGTTATTTTTCCTTGCCTATTTAAACCTATAATTCTGCAGTTTTTCACAATCTTGCAAGACAAATTGCGCTTATTCAATATCCAAGACGATCGAAGCACGCGCTTCCTTTGAGCAAAAAAAATATAGAATTGACCACATTATAAAACGTTTTCATGAAGATAATTTTCCATGAATCCGGGTCTGCTTAGTCGGAAAAATCTGCTGCTATGTGATATGTAGGGTAATAATTATCGGTTTTTAATGAAAACGATAAAAAAAAATTCCCAAAATCACCTATACTGGACCGGTTCTCACTTTTGTCGCGCTCCAAATTTGCAGTCTGCGAGCTGTCGGAGCCGTTTAAATGAACATTAATAGAGTTAAGCTTCAACATGATAGTGAACTTATTATGTTTAGGTTTTATTTCCCTTTATTTGTGTTTTTTTGTTATGTGATATTTACGCGCGGCTTTTTGAGTACTCCTGCGTGCGATGTTTTGTTACATGTTCGAGTGAAAACAACCTGCGCAGGGATTAAATTGAGGAAGAGACTACTAGCAATCAGTAAAAAAAATATAACTCGGTGAAACAGGTACGACAACAATTTTCATTCACGGCGATAAGTTTTGAGAGTAAGTGTCTCTGAAAATCATAAGCATAAGCTCATAAAGTTCAAAAACCTTGCAGAATTAAGCCGGCTTCGCGGTGTTTACTTCAAGATGAACCGCGAGGCAAGAATATAGCTCGGAGCTTTCTGTTTACAGCCAAAAGCACAACTAAATAAATTGTATTCTTCTGAACGTTTTCTTTGTATTTGTGGACAGAAAATGTTATTAAAGACTTTTTAAAAATCTGTAAGGTTATGTCAAACCTGATGCTGTTGTAGGTCAGATCATTGTCTTGTGTAGAAACTAGGTGCAGAAACTACGCTCGACTTTAGGAAACCGGAAAAAAGACACATCATATACAATAATAACACAGGCTTACCAGTCAAGATGCAGCTCCTAAAGGCCATCAGAATCGCTTGAGACTTTTTTGAACCCTCTTTATAATACGCATTAAGCAAGGGGGAGTGGGTCCATCCGAAATCGGATTTCCGATGACTTTGACAAGTTGCGCATTTCTCAACCAAAAAACCAATGAACAAATGAGCCATGAAGAATCTTGCTAGCAGCTGTATTTCATTTTGTGCATCCAGTAGAAAAAGGCAGTTAAAAGCTTCACAACGTTACACAAAACTCTGTCAGTTTCAGCTACCAGTAAACAAGTTTCAGGATGCTGCATAAATTTTCCGCATGAACTCACGTATCAACTTTTCACCAGTCAGAACAAAAAAATTGAACGTGGAGCGTGACCAACGCGTGACCATAGTAAGAAAGGTCAAAAGCAACTTCCCTGTCTGTAAAAGCTGGCTGAATTCTCGCGTCCGAGGTCAGTTTGAAGTTAAAAGTTTAATATTGCGGCTCATAAACACAACTACCTATTTCCTATGCGTTAAAAAATTGAACTTGAGCCTGCAATCATTTGGAAAGTAGTGACTTGTCAGCGGATAACTTCAAAAAAACTCGAACTCATTGGAGCGATACCTGAGTCTGCGATAAGTCAGGTGATGATGGTCAGCGGATGCTGTAGTTTGACAACTGTCAATTGAACTTCATTAGAATGGTGCAAGGGATGGCGAATTTTCGAATAAACGGACTGTTGACTGCGAGTGTTAGTAAGAAATTTCAGTCTGGGTTGTAATGGAGGATTAAGGGGGTGAAATGTCAGATCGTGTATTTGAGCCTTGAGCCTCGTGTATTTGATATTGATCTGTTAGTGGTATTCACATGTCCCATTTTGACAGCTGTCATTTGCCCTTAATTTGTATAGAGCGTATAACTTTAAGGACTGAAATAAAACATGATAACTAAACCTGACCTGATCCCCCTTGACCAGAAGACGGGCCTGTAGATGCTGATAGTGTTGAGCCAGACGAAAGAGTCCAATGAAAATCATCTGAAGACGATTGGTTCCATCCAGAGCATAATCCACTGTCAAATGAGCACCATACTAAACACGTTAAATAAATAATAAACAAAAAAACATTTTTATATTTCCTCCAAACATCAACTTCCTGGTAAAGATTATTTAACAAAGTTATTTTTCAGTTATTCAAATCAATATTTATCCAGGAGCATCTAATTTAGCAGAGCTACTTTAAATGGAGCCCCGACACAACCAAAACAACGAAATTAAAACGTTGAAGAGACTAGACAATCAGTTCAGTTATCAAGGCAACATGTACAGTGTACAGGTATTATTGTCTAAGATGGCGTTTGAACTTAATCTTAAATTCGTACTGAGCGTCGCTTTGCAACGTAGCCGTTTTCGCCAGGAGGACGCAGCAAATCATGGCTGCTGGTGTTGTAGGCATGGACTTGGTGCGCATACCTAAACTGCGAATGTAAGTACAATGGCGCCGTTCCATGAAGACATTTAAAGACTAAGACGCACTTCAGATAGTCTCTACGCGCTTGTAGGCTGTTCCAGCTAGGTGTCGACTTTAACTCATCAGCCCTGATAGATACACCCACAATAATACAGGTGGCACGTCTGTTTAGCTTATCTAGATAGGATTTGCTCCCATTTCCATAACTGCCCCCGAAAGACGAACAGTAGTCGAACAATGGCAGGACTAAATAAATGTATTAGCAATGACAATGCGACGATTACATAGTCAGTGAGCTAAGACCAGTATATAAACGTCGGCTAGATGATGAGAGTAAGGGAACCTTTTTCTCAGTTTGTAAGACGGGGCTATGTAAAACAACAATAAAAGCTGTTTAGTGTACTTACCTAACGCGAACACCGATTGATTTTGTGGTAAAACAGTAGGCGGTATTGCTTGATAAATATGGTTTGTTAACCATACTTTCAGATCTCTAACGTAAACATTTACTCCATACTTGGAAGCATACGTACATCTGTAACCCCAACTAGTTACACCTTCAAGAAACCATGTTCCGTTAAACTCGCACACCAATGGACCACCACTGTTGCCTTGACAAGTGTCAACTCCTCCTGCATCCAGGCCAGCACAGAGCATCGAATCATCGATCTCTTCAGGGTAGAAATTCATACAACGCCTTTTGGAGACCAGTGGAATCTGAGCTTCCATGAGTGCATTTGGCTGGGACCTCCCTGAGGACAGTGTACCCCAGCCCGTAATCCAGCAGGTTTTGTTCAAATTGTCAAAAGGAAGAGCGTGTCGCATATCAGGCAGGCAAACAAGCCCGATCCCCACCCCAAGATTTGCAGGTTTTAAGAGCTTAATCAGGGCGATGTCATTGCTATAGCTCAACGGGTTGTTATAGTTTTCATGCCTGATGATCCGAGCGACCCTGATTTCCTGTTCTGTTCCAACACTGCCGGTTGTTCTATAGTGGGCTCCCAACCTAAACAAGAAATAAATAAGTATATAAATAATTAATTAATTGATTAGTTAATTAATACGACAGAAGACAGAAGTGCAAGCAATGACAAACTCGTTTCCAGGCTCCCTCGATCCTCTCTATCCTGCTCTGGGGGACGAGGAAGAGGAGACACTGGGAACAAGGTTGTATAAAAAAAAATGTTGAAAAAAAAACATTTTGGTCTAAGATTACTCAGATTAGACGAAAGTAATATAGTAAATATATAAGAACCGGTGACGATGACGATGATGTGATAATGATGACGATGATAGTAACAACGACAAGGCAATTATGAACGAACTTATTGATTATCCTTCCAGGACCAATGTGATCGTACTTTTGAATTTAAAGGAAATGTTAAGTAGCCAGAGTCACTAAATGATGTACGCACAGTAGCACAACTCACAGTTCAAAATGTAGCATACCATTGCATGCCGTCGGGATTGAAATCACTTATAGCTTACAGACAATACAAAGAGAGCTCGATAAATTTTAGGCAATCACTGCGCCCAAAGCTTTCTCGCTAGAGTTTCCCAAGTGGGGAATTTCTTCTGGTTTTGAAAGAGGTAAAGCTTAATTAACTTACTTTACTTTGATAGAAGACGGCGATTTTCCGTTGACACAATGTGCAGCCGTCACCACCCAATAAGGGTCTACTAACGATCCTCCGCAAAACTGGTCTCCAGACGATCTGATCAGCATCACCTGCCACGGCCAGCTATTCACTCTTGCAACCGAACCACCAACAATTTGACTACTAGCGCTTGGTCGAGAGCCACAAAATACTTTATATAATAGAAAAATAAAAGAAACTATCAGAAAAAGGCGAAAGCGTTTGATTGGGTCAGATATTTTGTTTAAAAAACAAAACAAAACAAAAACTAGGTTATGACCGGGTATTATTTAGCAGTGAAAGAGCGAGATATAAGCTCAGGTATGGAACTAGGGCTACAATCACGAAACAAGACGTAAGGCTACAAGCAGGTAGTCTAAACCTTCAAGGCACTTTCATTGATGCTGCAGTACTAACTTTTCAGTAATCTGAACCCGCCTTCCCTTTTCTTCGAAGGAATCATAATCTTATCAAACAAAACTTTCTGCATTCGAGACCGTGAAGTATGGCCTAGATTAAATTAGAGGTAAGCTGGTGCCGTTTAACAAAACCCTGATTCTTGTGTCCCTGACCTAAACATTTAAACATCTTTTCTTGTAACTGGCTGCCTGGCATTTTTAACTCTTAGGTTATTTCGGGCAGCCAGCGCCCCTATCATCGTCTGTACTATTGTTATGAATTTTTATCTCTTCTATATTATGGGGTGAAATAAGGTGTTGTTATTGTTGTTGTTGTTGTTGTTGTTGATCCCTTAATCATCTTTTGTTGATCATGAGTGTAGTCCAAAAAATGGATCTGATAAATGGTTATGATGGGTCCCAACTAGCAACGTAAAATATACCCTAGCGAGTAATTACCATTGCTATTACATTATCATCATTACATGAACCTTGTACATGGCCCAGCTCGCTACGAGTCCTTTGTAGCTCAATGGTTAGAGCATCTGACAGGGTGTTCGGAAGGTCGTTCAATTACTGTCGGGAATCAGATTTTATCTTTGTCTCATGCTCTGGGCGTGTTTATCACATCATTTCTTATTTTCATTATTGTTATTATAGAACCCGACATTAAGTTCAAAACCCTTCGTCTCCACTGCATGTAGCAAGAAAGAGAAAGCAATGCAAAATGCATAGTTTACCATCAGTGGTTGAAGCCAGACTTTCACTGGTTTTGTAGGCTTGTCCAGTCTCGTCAATTCCATACACGCCAACTCGGTACATCGTGGAAGGTCTCAGCCCGGTGATATCTGCAGTTGTCGCACTTCCTGGAAAAGTTTCTACAGCCAGTAAATTTCCCGCTGGAGTTTTAATAAGAATCAAATAAAAACTGGCAGTCCGGTCAATGTACGTGTGAAGTGCTGACAACTGAATACTAAAACCAAACTGACTGGACATCAAAACAGCCACATTCCACCCTGAAAGCGGTAAAGCTGAAAAAGAAAATATAACAATAATAATAACAATAATAATAATTATTGTTATTATTACTATTATTATTATTATTATTATTATAAATATCATTATTATTATTATTATTATTATTATTATTATTATTATTATTATTATTACTATAAACTGTAATTTATTATTACCATAAAATCTATCCCGGAACCCTTTGAGGCATTTTTTTAAAAGCTTTATACCAGAGCTATGATCATACGTCACACGCTGAGTCATAGAAGCGCGATTTGAATTGCTTCCAACAATGGCGGTAGCCAGCGTGGAAGAGTTATCTGATGATAGTTCTGATCTTCTATCGGGCTAAAAATATCCGCTTAAAGCCTAATAACCAAAACGAAAAGGTGATACACTCATGAGGCGTCTTCAAGTTTACTTGTAATCTTGACAGTTGGCTGCATAACATAAGTTTTATCACGAACAACCCAGTCCCGGCCCTGGACAGCGGGTAAATAAATATTGAAAATCAAGCTCTTTTACTTTACTTTACTGGTTTACTCACTTGTGCAATGCTTTGGAGCTTTTTACTAATTCCACAAAGGACCACATTGTGTCAACCCACGTTAATTTTGAAGTAAAAAGTATGTTGTTCCAACTGTGTTACAGATCGAACACGGGCTGCATCTTTTGCTTGCGCGGCGGCTGTAATTGTGTGAGATCTGAGGTCGCGAATTATGAATGGAGTTTTATAAGCCAAATTAATGTGGCTGTGGATGAAAACGGCTTTTTATAACTTACAATCTCAACGGAAAATATTTCAAGAGGATATATCAAACTGAAAACAAACGAGATATTCAACAGGAATGAAATCGAATTAAAAGCGAAATTTACTGTTCTGTACCTAACATACCGAGGGTTTCATTCACACAATACAACAACTGTCGATACTTTGAGCCTGGTATTTTTCTCTTGCTACTAAGAAACTAAGTAACATGTAAACAAGGAAAATAACAGGCAGTCATATAATTAAAAAAATGGAGCGAGCTGATGGGGTTAGCGACTTCAAAAGATTAAAATCCTTGAATGAAAGAAAGGTTCTCAGAGGTTTCATAGCGGAAGTTAGATGTTACGGCATGTCACGTCCTCCTGCATATTCCTTTTGCGGTTATTTGAGGTCTACAAGTATATGCTGCGGCCATGAAATCTTGTAGCACCTTGAGAAATAGTGTGATTGCCAAACGGTGTTTAATTTCTTCCTGAGTTTGATAATTCTGCACTCAAAGGGTTTTTGCAGCTTTCATGTCTTGTGGCAACTAAATAATAACTTATATAGCACCATCAAAATGAATAAAAATCCGGACAATAAAAACCGATACCTTTCTTCACTTCGACGTTTTGCTTCGTTAAAGGAAATCCTTCAAATCATGAGAAAACATCTTGATTTTCGCTGCCCCAGGTTGCGGTAGATAAGACATAGAAGACACGACAGTTTCTACTTACAAAGGCCGCGGAAGGCGCAAAATTGCCGATTTGCCGGTTCCACGATCAGCTGTTACAGACCTTACCGTAAGCGCTCCAATTCCCTTTTAAAATGTCTGGCTCTCCTACAAAGAGTCTCACTATTTAATTCTTTGAAAAGTTTCTTTTAAATGAGGGCGATGGAATACAACATTACGAGCAAAATTTGAACATCCGAACAGTGCTACAACAGCAAACACGACCTCGTGAGTTGCAACAACAAAATATAGCAATATATTTAAGCCAGATTACATATTATTTATATTAACTCGAAACCAGCTTTCCTCGGTTGCAAGGAAAGGAACGGAGGCAGGAGCTACGGTGATGGAACAAGGAGTAAACTTGTTGGCCAATTTCCCTCTTTCGTCGTCATTTTTTTCTCATTACAGAAATATGCGGACGTCCTCGAAAACACATTAATTTCGCGGGAAAGCCTGTTCTAAAAATAATTCTTTACGGGAATGGGTTGACTCAAGGGTACAGCACATATGGAGGCTCCAAGTAAACATAAAAGAATGCCAGACTATTTGCCACAAAATATCTTAATATGTCACACTTACGGAAATGCCGACATCAGTCGAGTGACTATTGCCGAATTAGATTTGTTGTTGTTGTTGTTGTTGTTGTTGCTGTGACAAGAATTCATTATCGAGTTTTAAACAATTAGCATATTTGAGGTTTTGGTTGTGGGAGGCATTTAACCATAACCAGTTGACGTCCAGCATATCATAAAACTTGTCGAAACTCCAACTCTACATATTTCCATGTTTATTAAAAATCGTTGTCTCGTTTTGATAAAATAAACAAACTCGACATTGATTACTGGTATTGGCAATTTTTATCACTTGCTTGCCCTTTGAAGTACCACGTGATATCTTAGAGCACGTGCAAAGATGGCGGGTATCGTGAATAAGGTCTATTCTACCTAGCTGGAATAAGATGGCCACCTTTATAAAGAGCGCTCGATCTGGACAATCGTAAGGAAACAACTAAACTGTAAACACTTAACGACTAAAATAGAAACAGTAAAATAAGTACACTGTATCGACTAAAACATACCTGAAGATATGCCATTCTTCAAAACCGCAAACTTGATTTTCAGGCTGCTTTGAGCGTTTTCTAAATACACTTGAACTGAGATGTTACCGGACGAACCAAACTGTACATCCAACAAATTCTCTGTAGTGAAAGGTGCGCACCCTCGTCGATGAAGAACCTCGGTACCTACCCCATCAGTGATCTTCACATATTCGCTGTGTGATAGAAACAAAATATGACAATTAATAACAGCTAAAATATATATATCAGTTGCAATGATAAAGATAACGATAATGACAAAGATAACGGTAATGATTATCATCGTGATTATGATACTGATACTGATAATGATAATGATGATAATGATAGTGATAGCCATAATCATAATGACAATGATTATGACAATGACAATGAAATGACAATGACAATGACAATGACAATAAAATGATAATGATAATGATAATATACGGTGATCAAAGGAGCATTCTTGGTAGTGATAAAGAACGGTTTAGGAAAGTTAATCAGTGAAACGTCAGGAAAAATCAGCCTCCAGGAAATTCAAAGACAACGTTGCTGGGAATGACACATCGGAGGGTCGTTTCAATCAAGTCCTAGCCTTTGGCAGACAATTCTTGTGCAGCAAAAATGCCTTATATATGGTATTTAATTATTTAAGCACGATTGAAAACTAAAGCAGAGCCGATGTGGTCGTGTTAAAACTGAAAATACAGTATTATGAAAATCGTTATTAAAAGCAATCAATAACACGATAAACAATGAAATTCAAGGCCTAAAAATATTTACTTTAAAAAAGCTGACTTTTCAGTGTCTTTTTAAAAGAATCAAAACTTGGTAATTCTTCTGTGTGACTCTCCAGAGAGTTCCACAATGTTTGTACTTTGTAGCAGCTGGACTTGCTAAGTAGCTTTGTCTTGGGAAAAGGTATCTCAGACGTTTGCTTTCTTCGTAAATTATAAATGCAGCAGTACCTGTTCAAAAATTTCTGGATAGTTTCGGGGGCAGTTTGGTTAGAAAAACGTATGGGCCAGTAATAATAACTTTTGGATCATATGGATTATTTAATGAAAACCAGTTCGTATATATGATCTAGCACCTTGTCGCTCGACGTGTACCAGAGTTTAAACCAAAGATAATCTTACTTAGCAGCCCGAACATGGATTTTTTTCCAGCTCCCCAAAGAGGGTTTTTTGGCAAGAATCCCACGTAACTAAAGCATAAGTAACAGTAGGTAAAACGATCAGGAAATAAAAAGCAATTCCGGCTAACTTTGGTAGGTAAAAAAAAATGCGACTTTTTCGTTTTCTGGTATTCCTTTCGTTAGTTACAAGAATTTATTACGTCACTCAATTTACCTGCAAGAGACGAGGTATAGTTCTTGTACAGAGACCAAAGCCACGGCCTGGGGCGTATAGGAACTTAGTATGGTCCACTGACGTATTTCAAAGTAGCCGTTTGTATCATTTACCTCAATATCACCAAACGTACTATTTATTGTCCTGGAGCAATCTTAGAGAGGAAGATTTCAAGGAAGAACGCTTAATGACGATTATGAAATGTAAATATTTTCCTTTAGAAAAACAAAAGGGATTATATGATTGAGATCTACGTACTCTTATATATCTAAGCTGCAAAATACTGAGTGAAACGTCATGTTTTACTCTTCATAACTAAGATTTTAGAACCTTTTACGAGCTGTACGGGCAATTTTCTTATTAAAGCTATTATCATCATCATCATCATCATCATCATCATATTATTATTATTATTATTATTATAATTATTATTATTAGTTGTAATGGAAATAGGACTGAGTGCAGTCCAATTCGGTCTGTAATTATACGAGTGATTAAGAAAATCGGACGACCGCGTGGCGGGAGTCTAGTTTGTTTAAGGTGGCTGAACACAGTTTTGGCAGTTTCCGAGTATAGGTCATTTGCCTAATTATGGCAAGAGAAAGGTTGCAGTTCACAAGCTGAAACTTGGCAGGTGAAAAATATACTGATGAAAGATTTTGACTCACAGGTAAACTTTGATATTTTCGTAGTTTCCATGGCAACATGAAAGATTAAATACAACCTTAAAATTTCACCTTTACTGAGTTTACATAAAATTCGCTCAGTAGATTTTCCTATAAACTCGCACACAGCTTACTATAATTAATCATTACCATTTGAAAGTTATTTGACCAAATTTTAACAGAGGGGTTTATTTTTTAGATAATCAGTAATATAATTGTACTGTAATTATTAAATGTGTCATAAAATTCGTCTGTTCAACTTCCATTTTAAAGTTCTCATCATTTACAATACGATAAAAGTAAAAATTTTGCCAAATATCACAAAATTTTATAGAGTAGATTTTGAGAAATCGTCTTCTGTGTATCATTGCTTTTTTCTCCGCCATGTTTGTTTGTCTAATTTAAAACACGCACTACCGCTGACCCCCCGCAAAACTGTGTTCAGCTAACTTAATCACTAGTATGATTACAGACACGAATTGGACGACACGAATGTCGCGCAGGTGATGGTGCATACTGTCTAATTACTAAGGCATGACGCGTACTGTCCTATTACATTGTCCTATTAGTGCTGAAATCAGGACAGTTGCTAGCCAGTTAGCCTGTGCCGCAAACCATCTAAATCCTTGACTATATCGAGTTCTTAATAGGTCTTGAGTGACCAGACCGGCTGCCACGCAGGCTGATAAGCCAGTCAGCTTGAGAAATTTGTAATAGATATCATTACCATCATCATCATTATTATTACGCTATTATCATTATCATTATTATTTTCATTATCATTTTCACTGCCATTATAAAATTATGATCATAATTATTACAATACCATTATTATTAGCGGAGCTCTCGCGCACGCGAAGCGCGCGCAGCGGAGCACCATGGATAAAATTTGGTAAACTATCCAGCCGAGAAAATTTGGTTATGACGTAGGGTACGCCCACACACACTTCATGTAAGCCGATGTCAAATGTCACAATAGATCTTCCACATCTTGACACTAGCTTGTCAGCCAGTTATGTTACCCATCCGTATGAGGATGATTAGATTGACAGCTGTCAAAATCAGACATCCGCTAACAATTATCACATGACCATCTCGCAGGCTCAGGTGCAAGACCAGTCGTTTTGCCCCCTACATATAAGCTGATATAATATGTCACGCCTACCAATTCAACATAGAAACGAAACTGTATGCGCGAGTCAAATTAAGGTCAATTGACAGCTATCAAAATGGGACATGTGCACTATCAGAAAACTAATAACGTGGGCTCAGGTCCTTTCAGGTACACGATCTGGCACGTCGCCCCCAATACGAGCCGGCTGAAATGTCTTACTTACACTTGTAGTCGACTGTCCGTTGATACTAATATTTGACATTCTAATGAAGGTTAATTGACAGCTGTCAAACTAGAGCATCCGCTGACCATCATCACCTGAATGTATCGCGAGCTCATTGTTCTACTCATTGAGGTCAAGTATTTTTTAAGCTTTCCGCTGATATTTTATTTGATCACGGGCTCTGTTCTGTATTTTAAGAGAAGCTCCATTGCTTAAAAAATATATCCATCCTAGAAAATTTGGCAATCAGGTGACGGTACACCGACCGCCCGACCTTCCGTCCGTCCGCAACACAGACATACCGATGTTTAACTTCACACTTTCTAGCAAGTTTGGGAGCCTGCAACCTAATTGTACATCCATGTTTTGATCAATTGACAGTTGCCAAAACAGTGTATCCGCTGACTAGTATCGCCTGACCATACCGCGGGCTCAGGTATCGACCGACTGGGTTCGAGTGTTTTTTAAAGTTATCCGCTGACAAGTTGCTACTTTTCGAATGACCGCAGACTCAAGTTCATGTTTTTAAAATGCATATGAAATAAGTCGTGTTCATGAGCCGCACTTAAAAAAAAGAAACAACTGACCTGACTGACTGACCTCGGACGCTAAAATTCAACCGGCTTTTACATGTTTTTGACTTTTCTCACCATAGTCACGCGTTGGTCACGCTCTACGTCTAATTTTTATGCTCTTTTTTTTTTCCGGTTTCCTAAAGTCGAGCGTAGTTTATGCGGCTAGTTTATGCGCGAGACAATGATCCGATCTACAATAGTATCAGGTTTAAAAAGCCTTTAGACATTTTTTGACCGCAAATACAAAGAAAACGTTCCGAAGAATCTTACGTTATGATTTTGGCTGTAAATCTACAGCTCTGAGCGATTTTCTTGCCTCGAGTTCATGTTGAAAAATAGCAAAGAACGGAAAGCCGGCTGAAACCATAAATAAGCTTATGCTTACCTGGCGCTTATCTAGCTCATGATTTTCAGAGATACATTACTCTCAATACTTTTCTTCGTGAATGGAAATTATTGTCTCTGTACATGTTTCACCGAATTAAATTTGTTTTATTGATTCTTCGTAGTCCCTCTCGCAATTTTTATCGTCGCGCCGGTTGTTTTCAGTCGTACATAAACATCTCGCATGTAGGAGTACTCAAAATGTCGCGCTTAGATATCGCTCGCTTTTAAAGCACATAACAATAAACAGTTTTATAAATAAAGGGAAATAAAACCTAAACATAACAAATTTTCTATCGTGTTGAAGCGTAAATGGTAACTCTATTATGTTCATTCAAACACTTGACAGCTCGAACTGCAAATTAGTTGGTGCTTATCAAAAAAAGTGAGAACCCGTCTGTCTAGCCGAAAAGATGATTTGGGGAATTTTTTTATCGTTCTCACTAAAAGCCCATAATTATTACCCTGCATTTCACATAGGACCAGATTTTTCTAACGGAAAAGTCCCGGCATTATGGAATTCTCTTCATGAAAACGTTTTATAATGTGGTCAATACTGTAATTTGTTGTGCAAAGGAAGCGTGTGCCTCAATAGTCCTGGATATTGAATGATTACAACTTGTCTTGCAAAATTGTGAAAAAATGCAGAATTATAGGTTTAAATGGGGCAAAAAAAAACAAATTCTGTCCCAGGTTTGTATGATAAAAAAACCAGCAACTCATAGTACTGTTTAACTCAGATGTGATCAAAAAAAGTATATTTAAAAGGCTGGTTGCCACCAGATTTGTCGCCAAGATTTACTTGTAGAGTAAAACTTGTCAAACACAAAAAATCCGGCCTGATTTTGTTTTATTTTGGCCTCCCTTTTAGACAGAGGAATTCAACCTGTAAATTGGCTGCCACCGAGGACTATCGTGTGTCCATAAAATTACATTTTGGGACTCTCCAACTATCCATAGTCTCTCCAACGGAGTGGTTGGAGAGACTATGAATTAACCTTACAAAATTAAGTGTCAAGTGTTCCAGGGGCCAAAAGTTGTGGTCAACCGATTTGGCTGAAACTGGGCACAGAAGTTGGGCGTGATGAGATATTTCAAAAGCCACTTTGGCTCACTTCTCTGACGTCTAGTTCTGGAGTTACAGGGGGGGTCTCAGTTTTTGCCCTTTGAGCACCAAAAACCCAGCCTTCAAGGGGGCATTTTGAAAGTGTGATAAGACCCCACTGGTAAATTGTGCTGCCAAATGAATTTGACCATAAACTCTACTATAATAGAGCTTTCAGTTCATGCATGTAACTTTGCCCTCAAGATATTGCACAGAGAGGATCCTGGCAATAGAGTTTGGTCAAAATTGATGTTAAAATTACAACCCAAAATAGCCATTTTTCAAAATTTCACTATATTCACCTGCCTTCTTGCATAACTTCCATGCCTATACCACCGTTTACTTTAGTCACCCAGTTATCAAAATCAGTTGAGAAAAATTTGGCTTATCGTGGTTTATTGACTTTTTGGAACAAACACTTCATGCCCCTTTAAGGCGATGGAAAATGGAATTTTGAGCATAATTCAGGTCATAAACAAAGCAAATTGTTGACAAGAAGCCCTTATTCTGTATTTGGTAAGTGAAAATGAATTGTCAAAGCCAAATCAGTTTCGTTGTTTAGAAATACACCGATTCTTACCTTTAAATTGGTGTAAAACGGGCCTCTGATTAGCACAAAAAACACATGATTTAGCAAAACAAAGGTGATCTTATTCTTTGAAAACCTAGCAACCACCATGGGAACACAAATGATGATGTTCTGACGTAGATATAACGATCTTTTTACAAGATTCCTGAATTTTTCTTTGATTTATATTAATTTTCACCACAGGTGGCCCAAGCATAATATGGGCCACCTGTGGCATAATATGAGAATTCGTATGGGAAAAATAGATTTTGAAACTTAGGTGAAATAAATGAAGTAAAAGCGATAAAAGTTAGCAAGAAAATGTAAATATTGTTACCTGGAGTCGTTGTCTTTGTTTTTACGAAGTTTCAGCTCGATTTGAGTACTTTTACATCATCTGACCTGACATTTATTTCATCTAAGTTTCAAACTCTATTTTTCCCATACAAACTCTCATATTACGCCACAGGTGGCCCATATTACACTTGGCCACCCGTGGTCTCACGTCATATTTCTAAGAATTACTCCAAGTCTCCATACTTTGCCAGGCCCACTTTTTTTTATATTTTTACCAGATAAATTTAGCTTATCAAAAGTTTCGCTAAGACATATTCTTCGTCTGACCTTGTAGTAGCCTAAATAGTTGTTGTAAATACCCATCAGCAAAAGAGCATGACCATACTTACATAGATTATACAAACATATACGAGCTTCAGTGAGCTGTATCGAGGTGAACTGTCATTTTCCGAGTCCTTTAGAGATGAAAAAATGAAACCATCCATCCACAGTTAGGAGAGCTGCATAACAAAAGGCTTGTTTTGCTTTTATAAAGAAAACAACCCAAACAAATCCTTGCATTGAGATGATGCAATTGTTATTACATCAAGTTAGCTGGCCTGCAATTTTGGAGTGTGGGGACTGGACGGAGTTCCCGTCCAATCCTTCTCCTTTTCGTGGGAATTTGTTGTGTTTTTCATCAGGGCCGAGTTGTTCAAAGCAGGGTTAAGATAACCCAGGGTCAGTGCGAGATTTGAATTCAGATTTGAAAGCTTAAAGAGCATTTCAGTTTTAATTCTTTTTGTCTACAAGTTGATGATTGGAACCTCTAAAAATAGCAGAGAAAATTATCCGAGAAAATACTTTTAAACACAAGAAAAACAAACCCGGGTTAAATTTAACCCCGTGTTAAGCACTAATCGGCCTTCGAACGACTGGGTACTGGTGTGTACGAAATTCTAGAAAGCGATCTGTGTCAGGATGATTTTACGATGGCATTTTATCCCTTTGGAGGGGTGAATGACCAGTGTGGTGTGACGTCGTGGGCTGTGCAAGAAACAGGAATGCTTCCTTTGTGGTCTTGCGATAGCGGCATGACTGCATGGTTAAAGCACAAGTAGAAGGGTTCAAGTGTGTGCGGGGAAGAAGAGGAAGACCTGGTGATGCCAAAGCTACAGGTGATTCAAAAGATCAGTTAGGGATCATACACGTACACAAATGGCTCTTATCGCGGTTTATGGGACTCCTTTACTTGAAGAGAGACGATGATATATGAGTTGCGATATTGTTGTCTCAAACTGTTTGTTTATGGTTGATTGATTCCCTTGTTAATTTCCTGGGCCCTGACGAAAAGCACTAAACATTCAACAAACTCATCGCAGCAATATCTTTATCAAAAGAAACAACAACAATTATAGGAATAACTTGAAGGCTGCTTTTTGTCTGCTCGAGCTGTTTCTGTACATTCAGCTTGTCACGTGGACACCCTTGTAAAGCAATGCTAATTTTGGCAATGCACAATTTCGATGATAAAATGCCATCGTAAAATCATCCTGACACAGATCACCTTCTAGAACTTCGAACACACCTTGATGTAAAACACAAAAAAATTCCCGCGAAACAGGAGAAGGGTTGAACGGGAACTCGGTCCAGTCCCCACACTCTCCAAGTCCAAAATGGCGGGTAGTTAGAGCGAGACTCTTCAAATGCAGTCGTTTTTTTTTTTTCGTCGGACCTAGTTTGTTCGAAACTGGGGATAAGAATCGTGACGACTTTCATTGTATGGAAATGAGTCTCGTGATGAGAATGCAGTTTATTTCGGCGATGACTGGAATGACGCATGTAAGTTTGGCAATGACGTAACTTTCCTCGAATGGAGGCCCTTGATTTTCGTGTAATTATGCACGACATGCAGTCGCATCCCTAAGCAGGATGAGAAAATATTATAGCGGGAAAATCCTCAGGATTTTGTGGCTTTTTAAGGCCTTACGTTTCTCAGAATATTGCCACAATTACAGGAAATGTACGGCTAAATAGATTCACTTTGTTTTATGTATTTAATTGATAGATTTTCGCAGTTGTTACGATGTGAAGTCGTGTTGGACTTCATAAATACTTGAGATATGAAGTATCCACTGTCACTTAATTTTTACGTGCGCACGTGCGTAAAATTTGCGCTCGCAAATAAAATAAAGGCAATGTATGAAAGGCTGCACGTACAATTATGTAAGCGTAAAAGTAAAAAACTCGCTTAATTTGACGTTTAATCTCAATACTTTATGTCTTACCTCTATTTGATTTATGTGATTAAAATTTACGTGCGTTAAACAGCGGAGCCACAAACGCATCAGTGAAAATCCACCCTAACGTGTCACGGATGTGTTTATACGGGTAGCTTTGAACTTGACTAACCGCACACTCTACTTGCAGCACTTCATGTCGATAGTTAATAGAAATCCCATATCGAGCTTTTCCGAAACGGGTTGGTCCAAGAATTCTATGGCCTGAAAGCGTTGATTATTTTGGAACAACTGATCACTTCAGTGGTCGAAAAAAAAAAAGAAGAAGAATCTTAATGAGCAAAACTTCAAGGTTTACTGGAAATCAGGAGCGAGGATCGAGGATCGAGAAATCAGGGATCAAGGATCGGTTAAAAAGAACTTGAAAATAAAATAAATAAATAAATAAATCGTGGATCAGTGATGATGTGGGCCGCAGACTGTAGATAAATTTCACAGAACATAACCTGTTCGCTGCACTGAACGCTAAATTCAAGTAAACTAATCCGAGTCTGTCTGAGTCAGTGATCGTTTTGACGAGAAAGAGAAATTTTCTGGGAAAATGAAACGCTTTATCCTGGTGATACTGTAATACAAGAAAAAACTTTTAACAGTTTTTAATTTTTAAGTGCACATTTGCTTTCAGTACTCCTTATTTTTCTTGTAATTGTTGTATGCACGACCACACCAGCAATGCTGATCTTTTAATCGTGCCATAAACTAAGGTTCTTACCTACCCACCTACCTACCTACCTACCTACCTATCTATCTATCTATCTATCTATCTATCTATCTATCTATCTATCTATCTATCTATCTATCATCTATCTATCTAACTAAAATGCATGCTGTGTACAACTCTAAACATTGTACTCTGAGATTGTACGGAGATATTAAAAGTAGATACTAAGCAGCTATGGAAAAAGTCATTACTTTCATGCGATATTGATATCATATAAAAAGGACAACAAATTCAACAGGAATACGCGCGAACTGAATTAACTGTGTGTTGTATAAGGTTCTGTTCAACTTACACTTTTTTCCTGTGCTGAACATATAGTGTACCGAGCTTTATCTTTGTCCGGTACAAAGAAGCTATGTATATTTATACTGACAGAGTCATGGGCCCCTGATACCGATAAAAATTATCTTTCAATTTTTCGAGTGTAGAATCCCTGAAAGAGTACTCCTCAACGGAGCCATATCAATATGTAGAAGGTTTTCAAAGGTTTCACACCGGTTTGAGGCTAAGATGTGCGGCCTTTCTCTCCTTGCAATTTTTACTTTTTGAGTACATACATTATGACATACAGCACTCGTTTTGTATTCCAAACGAAAGAGTAGTATAACGGCACCGGGGCCTTTGACAACAAAACTCATCTCCAAGCAAGCGAGACTCAACGCTACTAAGAGCGTTCTTGTTTTCCTTAAAAAAAAAAAAGCTTTTTGTTATCCAGCTCTACTAACTGTGGATGGATGGTTTCATTCTTTCAGCTCTAAAGGACTCGGAAAATCACAGTTCACATCGATACTGCTCACTGATTCTCGTATATGTTTGTATAATCTATGTAAGTATGGCCATGCTCCTTTGCTGATGGGTATTTACAACAACTATTCAGGCTACTACAAGGTCAGACGAAGAATGTATGTTAACGAACCGTTTGATAAGCTAACTTTATCTGGTAAAAATATAAAAAAAATGGGCCTGTCAAAATATAGAGACTTCACATGCTTGGAGTAATGCTTAGAAATGTGACGTGAAACTGAATATAAATCAAAGAAAAATTTAAGCATCTTGTAAAAACGTCGTTTTATCTATGTCAGAACATCATCATTTGTGTTCCCATAGTGGTTGCTAGGTTTTCAAATAATAAAATCACCTTTGTTTTGCTAAATCATGTGTTTTTGTGCTAATCAGAGGCTCGTTTTAGATCAATTTAAAGGTAAGAATCGGTGTATTTCTAAACAACGAAACTGATTTGGCTTTGACAATTCATTTTCATTTACCAAGTACACAATTAGGGCTTCTTGTCAACAATTTGGTTTGTTTATGGCCTGAATTATGCTCAAAATTCCATTTTGCATCGCCTTAGAGGGGCATGAAGTGTTTGTTCCAAAAATTCAATAAACCATAATAAGCCAAATTTTTTTCAACTGATTTTGATAATTGGGTGACTAAAGTAAACAGTGGTATAGGCATGGAAGTTATGCAAGAAGGCAGGTGAATATAGTGAAATTTTGAAAAATGGCTATTTTGGGTTGTAATTTTAACATCAATTTTGACCAAACTCTAGCCCTAGGGTCCTCTCTGTGCAATATCTTGAGGACAAAGTTACATGCATGAACTGAAAGCTCTATTATAGTAGAGTTTATGGTCAAATTCATTTGGCAGCACAATTTACCAGTGGAGTCTTATCACACTTTCAAAATGCCCCCTTGAAGGCTGGATTTTTGGTGCTCAAAGGGCAAAAACTGAGACCCCCCTGTAACTCTAAAACTAGAAGTCAGAGAAGTGAGCCAGTGGCTTTTGAAATATCTCATCACACCCAGCTTCTGTGCGAAGTTTCAGCCAAATCGGTTGACCACAACTTTTGGCCCCTGGAACACTTCCTCAGACAATGACACTTAAGGTGGTGGGCGACTGGGTTATGGCCAGATGTAAAATTTGTTTCACTCTTGGGCTGTCAAATTATTTTTTTCTAAAATCACGTAGCCTTTGTCTCAAAGTCACATGAATGTGCCCTAAAGATAACTGATTTGTGGATTACAAGTATATATTTTTTTTATTTAAATTATGAAATTATCAACGGGAGCTTCGCTTTTAGCCCTGGCTAAATCTATTATTATTATTATTATTATTATTATTATTATTATTATTATTATTATTATTATTATTATTAAAACCGGTAAAAGTAAATTATAATTATTTTACACTAGCTATATAAAGTTTTGAGTTTAAACCTTAAAATAATTTGATCAAAAAGGGTTAGCTTTTTCGTCTTTATACGGTGCCTCAAATTTATACGACGAATTAAGCCAAGGTTCGAGGTTGTCCGTTATATTGAGAGGTGATGCCATGTGCTTTTATTGAAATGAGTGGATGAAAATCGATTGGTCTTTTTTAAATATAATACAAATCATGTCCAGTGATATACAAATCAAGTCGAAGAGAACGTAAAAGCAACTATTACAGCTAATTCTTAAGTCGTGGCACAAGCCGATTAATAAAATGGATTTACAAAGAGACAGGAATTGCTCTTACTGAAAAAAAAAAAACAACAACAACAACAACAACATAATAACAGACTGCAAACCACTAAGCTGAAACTTATTTCGTGTTAGGCCTCTTTCAAACGTGGAATTTCTTATGAGTGTCAAACACCTATTTTAGTCGATGAAAATAATTAAATACGGCAGTTGATTCAGACGTCGGATATCATGGTGCCGAACCAGGGCGTAAGGAGCTAGGGCGTTGAAACGCTCATATGCGCCGCCCTCTGGTTCAGCTGTGATGCTGAGTAGGACTGGAACTAATAGGCCTTTCCGCTCTCGACACGCTGTCAGACTAGGGCAAGAATAATGACGCCCTCTAGCTGGAGGTAGGTTCGGATTTATTGCTTTACATATTTATATATTTATTTCTATTTGATATTTGGCGTATTTCTATGCGAGGTACAGAAAATATTCAGGTGATATTTTATAGTTAGTCTTATAGGTTAAGGTGTTTTTTTCGCCTTTCATGTTTATGTAGTGTCAGCATAGCCTATCAAGTATTAAAGGTTGAAGGTCGCGTCTTATCTTGCCAGTCAAAACCAAATAATAATAAACGGCTACAACAAAAATTTGTGATGGTTTTATAAATTTTGTTTGTGCATGTAAATTTTAGAGTGAACTTTTATGAACCTTCAACGTTTTTTAACTTCTGAATTGACGACCTCATCATGGCGATAGCAAGGTTTTTTTTGTGTACGTTGGCGTTTAGCTTGTTAGTAAAATAAAAGATTTCAGTTGCCCAATTTAGCGATTTTGCATTGTTCAATATACACTAAGACGGTAAATATTTTTTTTTGTCACAGAACCCTGACCCAAGAAGGTTCTGACTATTTCTTAAGTTCTAGTAGAAAATGGCATTCGAATAATCTCGTGTGGCAAACAACAACAAATTCTACTTCACTGCGCTGATAAATCTGAAGGTTGTATTGCACAGAAACAGAATGAAGCCTATGGAGAAATTTTGCTTTAAATCCCCACAAAGATTCCCCTGCAAAATTACAGTGAAATTTAGTTTTCACAATCTTTGCAACTGTAGTGCGTAATATTGGAGATATTATCTTGTTGTGGTCTGTCAGTCTTCTACGTGTAAAATTGTCAAGGTTAATACATAGATTTAGCCAGGGCTAACAGCGAAGCATGTGACTTTTGAGGGAAAGGCTAAGTGATTTTAAAGAAAAATAATTTGCAAACAACCCAAGAGTAAACTAAATGTTACATCGAGTTGATAGCCTCATATGTACCTCCAAAAAATGGCAATCATCTTCGATCACATTTAAGAGCCATAATGACTCTTGATCACCGTACTAGATTAATTAGGCCTGGAAGTTTGACAAGTTTTCTTTACAAAATCTTGCCAACAAACCTGGGTGCAAGTAAAACAACCTTCTATAACATTTATACATCACATCTGAGGTGTAACAGCACTATGAGGCACTGTGTTTATCATACAGACCTCGGACAGAATGCAGTATTTCACAATTTTGCAAAACAAATTGCACTCATTCAATATTCAGGACGATCGAAGCACGCGTGGGCTTTTAGCTAAACCGTTAAAAAAAATTCCAAAATCACCTATAAGGCCAGCCGGTTCTCACTTTTGCAGTGCGAGCTGTGGTAGAGTGCTGAACAAACATAAATAGAGTTACCCTCCAACATAATAAAGAATTTATTATGTTTCTTTTTTATTTAATGATTTTATTGACGTGCAATCTTCAAAAGCGTTTGATACGCTCGGCATTTTGAGTACTCCTGCAAGCGATGTTCACTGAACGACTGAAAACAATCGGCACTGCAGAGATTAAAATTACAAGAAAGACTACTAGCAATTAATAAAAGACATATAATTCGGTGAAACATATACAGAGACAACAGTTTTTATTCACGAAGACAAGTATTTAAAGTGTCTCTAAAAATCTTGAGTCTTCAAGCTTAAAGCTTAAGTTCATGTTTTAAGCGCGCTTCCAGGTGTTTGCTTTTTTCAAAGATGAACTAGAGGCAAGAATTCGCTCAAAGCTTTCTTTTACAGCCAGAATTGTAACTAAATACTCTTTGGAACGTTTTCTTTCTATTTGAGGTGAGAAAATGTCTTAAGGATTTTTAAAGTTCTGTATATAAGCTTATATCAAACCTGATACTTGGTCAGATCATTGGCTCAAATCTTACAAACGTGCATAAACTAAATAGCCGCACAAACTACGCTCGACTTCATTAAGTTAGCTATAAAAACAAACATCAAATACAATAATTACTCAGGCTTACCATTCTAGATGCTGCTCCCGAAGGGTATAAAGTAAGGCCAGTATCGCTTCAGACTTTTCAACCCTCTTACGCACCAAGCAAGGTGAAAAGCGAAAACGATGCCATCCGAAATCGGATTTCCGACTTTGACAAGTGACGAATTTCTCAACCAAAACCCAATAAACAAACTATCGATGAATAACAGAAGACTCTGGATAGCAGCTGAATCCCATTTGTGCATCCAGTGGAAAAAGACAGTTAAAGACATCACAAGTTGACACAAAACTCTGTCAGCTTCAGCTGTCAAAGTAAACAAGATTCAAGATGCTGCATAAATTTTCCGCATGAACTCACCTGTCAAATTTTGACCAATCAGAGCATACAAATTGGACGTAGAGCGTGACCAACGGGTGACTATGGTTAGCAAAGTGAAAAGCAATTGTCTTTCCTGCCTGTAATAGCTGGCTGAATTTTCGCTTCCGGGGTCAGTTTGAAATGAAAATGCCGCACATAAACACAACATAGTTCATATGAATTTGAAAAATTAATAAATAATTGATGTCTAATATGTGTGCATTATCAGTTTCCCTGTGCTCCCAAACTAGCTAGAAAGTATGAGATTGAACATTGATCGCGAGCTAGTAAAACAGTTAAATGGTCAGCGGACAGGTTCAAAACAAATCACGTCACCTCGATGAGTTGACACATAAGCCCGCGATATGGTCATGTGATAATGGTCAGTGGCTATCCTGTTGTGACATCTGTCAATTAACCATATTGTGAATGTCTTTTTGAGAGTCTCCCCTACTCCACCCGTACAATCTGTAGACGCGTACGTACGCTTGGTCAATCACGTGACAACCAAACGAAAAGAGGTTGACCATATTCTATGAGTATGGAGCCCCGCTATAAAAAAAAAATACCTCAAAAGATTCTGGGACATTTTTATGATAATTATAATTTACTTTTATAATTATATATATATTTTTAAGTTGAATAAAGTTTTTATCATTTATTTTTAATTAAAAATTATTATTATTTTTATTATTATCATAATTACTAATATCTGTTACTTCTATTACTGATTAAACATTTTAATAAATTTATTTATTTACTTATTTATTTATTTATCTCTTTAATGAGAATGCCGCCTAAGGGCAAAGAGTGGATTATTTTAGGTTGTCTTACAAAGAATACATGCTCAGCACTCTTACCTCCAGGGTGTAGTCTATAACATACCACTGAGGCATCTTCATAGTGACGACAGTCATTGTTGCCCCATCCACTATGCCCACAATAGACAATTGAAGTTTCGTTGCCTTGACAATTTACATCATCCAACCAAATTTGACCCCTTCCAGCCCCAAATCGGGCATACCTTGGAGAGCTAATAGCGTCACGATACCCCAACTGACGGCAAATGACGCGTGCGTCATTTATATCCCAGGAGTCATCACAAACTGTTCCCCAGATGTTGTTATGAAATACTTCAACTCTCCCTTCCGAGCACGTGGATCGTCCCACCAATCTCAAAGCTGAAAAAATTTTCAATAAAATGGTCTCTTGTAACTTTTGACTCTTATATTACCTTAAACCCATACATTAACATCACATTGCTTGGGGCAACTATACTTAGCAGATGCCTTGGTTTCTGGGGCTATACTTAGCCTTTTCATGTAACAATAGCAATAGATCTAAATATTCACATAATTACATTCTATTGCACGTAGAAAAGACAATTCACTTTGTCTTGTAATTATATCTTCTTAAAACGTTGTTTCCCCGAATGTTTCTCATTTGATGCTGCACATATGTTCCAAGATAAAGATGGAATTGTATATTAATTCCCACCGCATATTATGACCTATTATGTGCCATTTGAATTGAAAATTGCAGTAATGCCTTTTTGGAGGACATTTATTAATACCTGTTATGAATTCTAAAACCAGTCCTGTGTGTTGATAAACATGTTAGAACATAAATAGTTAAAATTAAGAGCCACTCTCTAAGGTTTTTCTGTTGTTTTTGGACCACAAAATAGAAATTGACCAGAGGCAGTTTTTGCACCTCATACGGACCTACAGCCGTACAGTGCAGCATTGCGAATTTTGTCAAACAGTAACTGTTTGCTAAGGCCAAAATAATTACTTTCAAAGCTTGAAATCCGCTAACAATTAGTTGTATTGATCCTTTATCTTTCCAATTTTATAGGTTTAAACCATTAACTCTTCTTAGAATTATAGAACCTTTTAGTCATCTGACTCACTCCCTTGTCAAAAACTTTAAATTCAGATAACTAAATCGCACAAGAGGCTCACCTTTACAGAGAGAAATGGCCATTGTTCTCGGGACATTTACTTACTGTCAGGGAAAGCTTCTAGGTCTGTGATAATTATATCGCTTATTGTTATTCTAAAATGCTGAACATGAGTCTTTTTCATTGGTTAACATGAACGCGCGGCAGTACTCTTCATCGTGGATTAGGCGGGTGAAACTAACAATAGCCCAATCTCTCTATTGTTTTCCCTTTTGTGAGGCCAGATCACACCTTTACGCATTTTAATTATTCCTTACAGATAACTGACTTAAAGATCAGTCGAAAATTTTAGTTTCGTTAGCTCTAACTGATTACTCTATGAGTAAGACGGCGGTAGAGAAAAAGTGGAGCCAAAAAAGTTTGCCTTTAATAAATTACATGAGAGCGAAGATAACGCACAACTAGAGTGATCAGTGCGAAGTTTAGAATCGGCCCATTCGCATCGGAAGTTAGTCTCCTGAATACACCCGTCGGACGCGCAATAAAGAGATTGAAGTAAAAAAAAGAGGGACGTTTAATATAGACAACGATAGCAAGAAATTGTGTCGCGCTCTATAAAGAGAATTGGAGGCTCTATGTAAATTTTCAGTCGAAAACAGAGTCGAAAATGGTGATATTCGCGCAGATGAAACCGCCAATAACCAATCTGAACCTAGATAAGCCTATAACATAACCGAAACTGTATAACTGTGCAGTTAAGCGTGAATCAGATATCTTGAAAACAATTTTGTCGGAGTAGCAAACGCAAGCCACAAGTGCTCTGATGTCTTTAAATTTCGCGCGCCTCAATGGCTCATTGATATGCATATTTGTCCGACCATTTCTCCCGATGATTTAATTATTTATTTATTTATCTATTTAATGAGAATGTCACCTAGAGGCAAAAAGTGGATTGTTTTAGCTTACCTACGGAGCGTAGTCCATGACATACTACTGAGGCATCTTCATAGTGACCACAGTCATTGTTGCCCCATCCACTATGCCCACAATAGACAATTGAAGCTTCGTCGCCTTGACAATTTACATTATCCAACCATATTTTACCCCTTCCAGCCCCAAATCGAGCAGACCCTGGAGAGCTAATAGCGTCACGATACCCCAACTGACGGCAAATGACGCGTGCGTCATTTATATCCCAGGAGTCATCACAAACTGTTCCCCAGATGTTATTATGAAACACTTCAACTCTTCCTTCTGAGCTCGTGGATCCTCCGACCAATCTCAAACCTGAAATAATTTTCAATAAAATGTTCTCTTGTAACTTTTGACCCTTATATTACCTTAAACCCAAATATAGACATCAGAATTCTTGGGTCAACTATACTTGGCAGATACCTTGGTTTCTAGGGCTATACTTAGACTTTTCATGTGACAATAGCAATAAGGGCAAGGATCTAAATACACACATAATTACATTTTATTGCACATAGAAAAGACAATTCACTTTGTCTTGTAAATATAACTTCTTAAAACCTTGTTTCCCCAAATGTTTCTCATTTGATACTGTACATATATTATCACAGGTAGCCCAAGCTCACTATGAGAGCCCTGAACAACATTTCCTACTTAGCCAATTAATTATTCATACAACAAGAAAATTATAAGACGTTGTATGGAGAAATGTTCTTTGCTCACTAAATTAGCAAAATGTACATTGAATATCGCTTTGAAGCTTACCTTTAGCGTCTTCTTGTTTTTCTTTGTATTCTGACTGCATTTCAAAAATTATAAGACGTTGTATGGAGAAATGTTCTTTGCTCACTAAATTAGCAAAATGTACATTGAATATCGCTTTGAAGCTTACCTTTAGCGTCTTCTTGTTTTTCTTTGTATTCTGACTGCATTTCAGACCCCCTAGGCACTGTTTACGGCCTTTTTTTGAGCGACAGTTTTTCAATCTACTGTCATCTGGGTGATAAATTGTCGCTCAAGAACCAAGAACCAAGGCAATAATTACCTTTTAATATCTGACTCACTCCCTTGTCAAAAACTTCAAATTCAAATACCTAAATCGAACAGGACGCTCACCCTCGCAGGACCTAGTGCAAATCATTATGTAGTTCCGTTTATGCTTGGTGGCTATTAGGTAATTTTCACCCAGGCGTGTGACGTAAGACTTCCCCTCCAGAGTATCGAAGAACGATTGTTAGATACCGAAGCCAGATTAACGAGGTTATGCCTCTCTAAAAATTGTTCTGTCAAGGATAAAGATTTGTAACCACCATTTTCAAGATGACCATTGTTTTAAAGCAATGAAGAAGAAAGACAAGGCGGTCGAGGACTGAGTCTCAACTTTAACATTCACCGTTAATTGCAGGAATGGCTCCGAGCTGTAGCCGCCATATTTGTTCTTAGAAGCGAATTAGCAAACCTTACATCACCTAAACAACCTACACCAGTTTATACCGCCTTATCAATTTTCAACTAAATGATAAAGAAGAAAAAAAAAGGTGGAAAACTGTCGCCTGTGACAACGATTCTTTGCAGTTTCTGCTGTAATACTTTGATCATTAATATTATTGGATGACACCTACAGTATTAAGGAAGAGAAGAAAAAGAAAAAAGGAGAAGAAGAAGAATTATGCAGATCGCATACCTGTCCTCGACGATCTCTCATAAAATAAAAAAAATGTAACTAGTACAGTGGAGTAGTAGGAGAGTAATTAACACAAAATACTTTGATTGAATTGCAAGCCTTGGAACAAACTCCTTTGTCCGGAGGAAACACTGAGTTACATGTGAAGATTGACCAACGACTGATGATAATTCTTCAATTTAATTTCATATTCATACTTTTTAAAGAAGTTCAATAAAAAAATAAAAAAAAAAATGTGCACGAGATCTACCTCGGGCACAAAAATCACTAAATAATATTATGGATCTTTCAGAGACTGGGTCTTGACAAAAATGAATTTATCAGTAAGGAGTAATTTTACGCGCGTTGCTTTTAGCTTGGCCCAATTAAAAAAACGAATTAAAAATCGGGGCTAACAAAATATTTTCGATTTCCTTTTCAGAGAACCGTTTCAGTTTTAGGTTCATTAAGTGACCAAAGCGAGTGTCCAAGACCTGTTGTTTCATCGGAGTTTTCGAGCAATAAAAAAAAAATAGTAACACAAGTGAAATCCAGCAGATACTTACTTGGTTGAGCGTTGGCCAGTTGAAGCAAAGCAAATAGTAAGACTGAAACAAATAAAAAGAAAAGTAGCTGGTAAAATGCCATTATGACACTTGATTTACTGTTTATCCCTTTGCCAAATTACTTCTATCCGAATAATTAAGTTCGACGCCAAGAGGTCTTTGCACGATCACACCCAGAAGTAATTTAGCCGCGGGCTGATCAATAATTAATGATTAAAGGGATATATAGTTTAAAAAGAAAACAAAACTTCAATTGCGGAAGTTTAAATAGCCACGTCATAGCATTGGCATGTCTTGTGTCTTCTACAATTCACATTTTTGCACGCAAACGTATTGCAGCGGAATAAAGGAAAAATTTATTGTCTTGCCGTTTTTTGTTTTAATTTTTAAAACAGAATTGTGTTTCGCTGCTCTACATGTAGATATTACACTGCACTTCCTTTTAATTACATCATGATAGTCAATTTGTTCTAGAAAATTATTTTAAAAGTTTTATTGTAAGCAAGCCCCTATTTCAAAGGCCACAGTCCCGTAGAGACAAAAAAAGAGACCCTTGAAATGAATTTATAATCAACTAAAGTGTGTCAAACTTAAGTTGCGGAAGTTTAACTAGCCATCCATAACATCAGCATGTCTCGTATTTTCCACAATTCACATTTTTGCACGCAAACTTATTGCAGCTCTGAATAAAACAAATATTTATTGTCTTGCCCTTTTTCGTTTTAATTTTGATAACAGAGTTGTGTTTCGCAGCCCTAGATATTCCACGAAGTTTTCCTCCTACACCCCACGTGCAGCAATTACAGTATATTAATGCAGTTTAGGAGTCGTGAATACTTTTTGCCTTGTTTGGGCTCTAGAATGGCTGTGCAAAGCATCAAGCAAAACTGAGAAATGCGATGCGCGCAAGGTCTAAGGTCAGGTGATATATGGTTGATCGCACGGCTAGTTTGGCTTTGCAGCGGACTATATCTCGCCGTTGCATGACTGATCAGTGTTTGGTTTCTTGGGCTCCCCTAGGTGTAAATGTCAATTCGGCTGCACTTTTGACTCCGTTTGTCTTAGTTCAACGTTTCTGGGTAACTGACCACCTATCCCTCCCCTAAGACAACATTTTGCCCTAAGTGAGAACTAAGTGCTAATGTTGGCTTAGGGCAGGGGTAGGTGGTCAGTTACCCATAGAAACGTTTTATGATCCGTTCAATTATAGTGAATGATCGTGACTGAGTCTACCCTACACCTTAGTGACTTTCTTGGCCTGTTTGTTTTGACAGTAAATGGCAGTGTTTGGTTTCTTGGGCTCCCCTAGGTGTAAATGTCAATTCGGCTGCACTTTTGACTCCGCTTGTCTTAGTTCAACGTTTCTGGGTAACTGACCACCTATCCCTCCCCTAAGACAACATTTTGCCCTAAGTGAGAACTAAGTGCTAATGTTGGCTTAGGGCAGGGGTAGGTGGTCAGTTACCCATAGAAACGTTTTATGATCCGTTCAATTATAGTGAATGATCGTGACTGAGTCTACCCTACACCTTAGTGACTTTCTTGGCCTGTTTGTTTTGACAGTAAATGTCAGTGTTTGGTTTCTTGGGCTCCCCTAGGTGTAAATGTCAATTCGGCTGCACTTTTGACTCCGCTTGTCTTAGTTCAACGTTTCTGGGTAACTGACCACCTATCCCTCCCCTAAGACAACATTTTGCCCTAAGTGAGAACTAAGTGCTAATGTTGGCTTAGGGCAGGGGTAGGTGGTCAGTTACCCATAGAAACGTTTTATGATCCGTTCAATTATAGTGAATGATCGTGACTGAGTCTACCCTACACCTTAGTGACTTTCTTGGCCAGTTTGTTTTGACAGTAAATGGCAGTGGTTAAGTCCATACGCTAAGCTCGTTTGCCTCCTGACTAGGCAGTGCGTTAACGAGCCAGATAGAAGGTTCTGCTTGTTTAATATGGGGTTCAAAATGACCTTGCATATTTGTCGCTTATAAGGGAAAGAGTTCTCTTCCGTGGCTTTTTATTGTCTAAAATCCTTGTGAAAAATCTCTCAAAAAAAATTTCCCCAGCTGTTAAGCAGTTCTGTTAGCCACGTGTTACCTCTCTATGCAAGAATAGAAAATATATATATAACAATGGTTCATAACGGCTAAAAGAATTTCATCTTTATGTCAACTTCCACCAGTGACTTACTGAGTTAGATTAAACTGTTATCTAAAAGAAAAGCAAAACTATGTGTTCCCGTTCAGTTTCTTTTCTTTCGCTCCCGCTCACTTCCACCTTGTTAGCATATTCTTCTTTTTCTCACCGCCGCTTCAAAACTTTCCAATTTTTCTTCCAACGAAATAGGTCTCTTTTTTGTTGTTGTTGTTGTTGTTGTTGTTTTTTTTTTTTTATCTCACGCTCTAACTCTTTCTCTGTTATCCACGTCAATGTAGGCATCAAAATTGAAGTCGAAAGATAGAATCGGCTTTGTTGTTGTTGTTGTTTTTGTTTTTATCTCAAAAAGTTCGGGAAGCTATGCGATTTACCGCCGAAACGCATGGGTCCTTCAAAGGCAAAATTTCATCCGGGCTTACATGAATGGGTGGACGTACGTACGGAAGATTTTCTCAGAACACAAATTTCTTAGATTCATAGATTACTAAATTTTCTTACGCAAAGTGCTCCGTTATTAGATTTTATAGTTGTATGTTTACATTCAATATTAAGCATACTAAATATCTTTTAGAATACGTATTTCATACATACGCTTCTCTTTCTATTTTGGTTTTCATTAATTACTGACATGATATGATTAATTTTGTCAAATAACATTCACACTTTATTCAATTGTTTTGATGTAATTTGTATGTTTTTTTTTTTTCGCAATATCCATAACAACTTTAATTATATAATACTGTCTTTAATTGGTTTATACTCGTTTTTTAATCTTACAAATAGGATCCCGAAAATTTATATATTCATTATAAACTATCGCATAATGCTGTTGACTGCCACAATTAATTACATACCGTACCATTATCTTGGATAAGTTCAGTATTGATTTTCACAACATGGTTCAATCTTTGTCGTATGAATTTCAAGTTGCATTGTTTACCACAAAATGGACAATAGCTAACATTTTGCCCCACATTTTTTAATTCATCATGTGCATCTGCATTCAGGCAATTCATTATACTATTATATAAGATAAAATATTTTTATGTTGCTGCCACAACAAACTTAACAACAAACTTTACTGATAAAATTAAAACTTACTGACAAACGTTACTCTTTATACAGCTATTTCGAGAAAGGTTGTCAGAAAAAGTGCACGCGACAATCCCGAAAGGTATTGTGGGTGGTTTTGAGCTCACTGTTCTTCGAAGAAATTTGAAGGAATGACACGAGAGCCATAGACGTATGTTTGCAAATGCTAAAGGAAAGCAACAATAGAAGATTCGACAGCTACTTTGTTAGCAACAGCGTATTGATCATATCCTATACTACGTTTTGGGATTGTCGCATGCACATTTTTTTCCGACAACCTTTCTCGAAATAGCTGTATTAATAAACGATAGCATTCTAATGAGTAATATCCTC